CATCTGTTCGATTCCCATCCTCGAATCGGATGGTGCTAGCACGAAACAGTAGACTGGTGCAATATGAGATAAATTTATCAGCCACAAAAAATATCTTCAGTCGCTTTCGGTGACTGTAGTCGCCGAAGATAGAAATAGGCATATCTGACGATACTGTGCGTTTGCTCCATAAGTCCTCGTAGCGATTTGAGGCCAGCATTGCCTCGAAAGCACACAGCAGCCCCAGCACAGTGGTCTGTTATTGAACCGGTAAATCCAGAACACCTATATAGAGCTACCGCACTGCTATGAATCAATGGATTTATAAGGATCACGGATGTCTATCGCTAAGCTTAAACGGCTCTACGACACAGCGGTTGGCTCAGCCTCTTCAACAGAAATTTGCTTAAGTAGCAGATAATATTATATGTGGAAAGGAACAGCCGTCTCCCACCAGTTCCCTCGGGTCCTTAAAAGTAATCTTTCGGTAGTAAAAGACAGCGAGCCAGGGGTGATAGTCGTGCATCCAATAGAAGTAAATACCACTTCTTTGCTGCACGAAGTTTCATCGTCAATCCTCTAAAGCCTTCGCATCTGTAGTGGTTAACGGCCCTATGGAGTCTCTAGTGAACAAAGCAAATTACTAATGTGAGCCAGATACAAAGTCACAATGAGAAAAATACAAGTAAATCTTGACTCACAGTTCAAAATGAGATCTCGTAGTTCCGTATTCCGTTGAACCACCACACCAAGAATAATTCTATCTTCCTGGTATTCCAGATCTCCGGTGATCGAAATATTATTCCACAAGTGTGAATATATTAGTCCAGTGTTTGTAGCTAAAATGTTTGTTCACGTTTTGGTGTTAGCAGCGGTCAAATATAGCCAACCGGCGGTCACAACAACAGTCACTCAGCAAAAGTCTCAAAGTCACGTTGGAGCCAACGAGCGGGTGGTAGCGGTTGTATTTCAGTAAAACAAACTTTTGTACAGCGATGAGACTGATAATGATGGGGAAAAAAGATGATACTGAGCATGAAAAAGAGCAGTTTACAAGTGCTACATATCGGTTCGCACATAGATTCTCCTCACTGAGGCACAGCCTTCATGACGGTACGGATATGCTGGTCGTCCGGTACAGTTCGTAAAGAGCAGTTTACAAGTGCTACATATCGGTTCGCACATAGATTCTCCTCACTGAGGCACAGCCTTCATGACGGTACGGATATGCTGGTCGTCCGGTTACAGTTCGTATGAATTTCAATTCGTGTGAAGCGGCGAGTAACTGAATCGTTGTCATACTAACAGCTGTGCTTTAAATATAGCCCCTCCGGCCTACTCCATCCGACCCAAACGAAGCCACTCTTAAAAGTCCAGTTTATCATTCGTTAGTGAGAGATCCGTCACTTGCGATGCGAGGTCACTCTCCAGAACCTTCTCTCGTGGTGTTCTCTCATCAAGGGGGAGCACTATGGCTCGTTTGCGAGAAGTAACCTCCCGAGGACTTATATGCTGGCTGGGGGAGCTGGTCAAATATTGATTCCAAACCAACAACGATGGGAAACGTCAGCGTGTTGAGCAATCGAAGCCAACATGATGGCGTTGCTGGTTAGTCATTTTGCGCATTCCTCTTCTCTTCTGCGGCCGAAAATATTGGACACGCTCCTTCTAACAAAGTGCTTTGCTGTTTTGCGGGTTAAGTTCTTCAACCAATTACCCCCAGTAGAACCTCTTGAGAAAATCCACCGCTTCGGTGGATTTCGGTCTGGGCAACCGGATAGTATTTTATGCAGTCACTAATATTGCAGCTTGGTCTACACGAAACCGAATGAACTCCATTGTCTTCATTAGGTCAAATAATTCTAATCGCATCTTGATTCCACAGAGCCAATATTTTGCTCGAGATAGTTCAGTGGTCAAGGCACCAGCTTACTGAGCGGAAGGTCCGTGGTTCAAACCGAACCTCAGCATCTTGATTACTCCTGTCTAGCCTTTGGTAACCTCACAGTATCCCAGCCATTGTGCCTCCTTCCGTTGGCAAGACAGCTAAACACCGAAAAGGTGCTGCAGCTGAGTGATGACTTTTTTATTTTGCTGATAGAGATTCTGGTCACCATGTCTCAACAGTCAGCCAATTATCGACGAAGTGAGCATTCCAGATTAGCGTTCGGACACAGAAAAACTGGACGGCAAATCGTGTTTGTTGACACTTTGAAAGAACCAAACATAGAAGTTTCTTGTTCATCTGATATGCGGATGGACCGCCCCCATCAAAGGCTACATACCAACATCGCTGCTGCGGTGATTTACCGGTATTGGTGCTCTTAGCAAGCATGTATCACCTTTTTTTCGTGAGCCGATCTGCGAACTCTATACATCCTAAACTTTCACTTCTATTTTTTGTTTGATGCGCATCATCATCATCATCGACAGCATGTCATAAGTGTTCAACACCGATGCTTCACTGACATACAACAATAATTTATTTGAAAGCCCTATTGTGAAGAAAATAATAAAGGTGAACTGGGAAGGGACTTAGTGCTAGCTTACTACAATCATTCCGAGGTGCATACACCTCCAGACACTCAGTCAGGCAGTCTGAATAAAAACGGACAAGAAGAACACCACTGACATCGGTTGGCAGGCACATCTTGTAGTGTCTCTAACCAGGCGCAATGGGGGTCACGCGGTCACCATCCTGGAAAGTGAGCAACACAGACAGTACCCAAACGTCTCGTGATCTCCTTCATACCCCTCTGCCATGCCAAGGGTTGCCCACCTCTCTGCTTCCGCCACTCTGAGTTTGGCATGGAAAACCGCACTCTCTCCGGCAAACGATGGGTAGGTACGCGCAACACATTTCCCAACCAACACAGCTCCTGGTGCTGAACTTATTCTTCAATGGAAGTCCCCATTACACAACCAAAAACTCACTTCCTTATTGCCTCGTTACGGGCCCGCCTACACCAACCCACACTAGTTATTGTCCTAAGACAACGCGTGTCGAACACCTGAAGATGTCTTAGTTCCGATGCTCCGACAGGCCAAGTATCATAGCCATACAACAGAAAAAAGAGCATTGTGGCTTGAGACACACGTCCCTTGAGATTCAGGGATACACCACACTAATGCCATAGGTGTCTCAAATTGACAAATGTGACCCGGGCCTTGGAGATGGTTGAATCGATGTGTAGTCTTATTCGGACCATCTAAGAAGCCAGTCATCACAGTTGGATCATGATCTCTACCGAACCGCATTCATGTATGAATTTTTCAGTACGCTCCTCAAACGCTTGATAATAAATGACACTGGAACGTTGTCCTTTTTAGTGGCCAAAAAATTATTAGAATAGGTTTGATAAGCTGATGCCTTACCGTAGTCCATTGGACCCAGAACAGGAGGAAACTTGCTTCAAGAAACGTTTTTCCTCATGAAAGTGTCTCACTGCAAGAAAACTCTAGGACAGTGAAAACCGTTTGTTGGGATTTCAAACCCACACATGCGCTTTAAAGAGAATTGGTGGTGGGTAAGGAACAAATTGTCTCTTGAAATGCATAGTATCTGTGTTATGTAGTGGTCAAAACGTTCAGCACACAAAACAGCAACGGGGGGATAGGTGTTTACTCTCTTTGATATTTCTCTTCAGGTGGATCGCACACTCTACGGTTGACGAGGGACACCTCGACAGAACGGTTTTCGCTACAATTCTTCTCTCCCAAAGTTCGAAAATTCGTGCTACTTCTAGGCAGCACAGAACCTAAACATATTACTCCCGATTAGTTTGTGTTGTACGAAAGTTGTAGGCTGAGTGGACAAAGTTTGCGAACGACCGACCCAAAAAAATCGTTCAGCTGTAACACCCTTCCGGTGCCTAGCTGCCATGCCACTCGAAGGAGGCACGAGGGCTTGGGTACTGCCAGGTTGCCCAAGCCTAGACAGGGAAAGTCGAGAGGCAGAGGTCGGGTTTGAACCACGGACCCTCCGGTCAGTAAATTCACGCTCTAACCACTTGGGCCATCTCGCCCAACGACCGTCCCAAAGTATACAGCACGTCTCAAACGGGATCCCTATAGGGAGTTCAAGCGCCTGGAGAGTACGAAACAACATTTCCTATCATTCCTTGCTTCCCCGAAGCAAAACAGTCACCATGTTGGGCTGAGCCCCATCTTAATGATGGTCTCATTGGGGCTTCACTCTATTGGAAGTCACATCACTCTCGCTTCAAGCACTTGTCTGTTTATGTTAAATGTGGTTTATCGACGCCACTGCTTTGGAAATTCAACCTCTAACCGATTCATATTTGTTTTTTGCTTTTGAAAAGGTCTTCACATCAACCTAACTGAAGGTATCCCACTTAGTCCCGCTCACCAGGTGCATAGTTTGGTCAACGGGGATGGACTTCTCCTGGGTAAACATGGTTTGCGTGCCTGTCTGACTTCTGGTTGTGGTGTTGACTTGGAACACGTGCGTTTTCATTTTATTAACCGATCATTTTGTTTTTCTGTTTGGTCACTGATGGATATTGCGTACTAGTTTAGTTCGCTAACCTTAGCCAAATTTTGCTTCACGTTTGTCCGGTGGCGCTTATGTGAAATGCACCTCATATACCGTTTGCCCAAATTTCCCCTAATTATGTGTCTCAGTAACATAGATAAACGTTTATGAGTTTTAGGGGACCTCCACCACTATTCCAGCACTTTTCCAGCAAACGAGCGCTTCAGGGTCATGAAAATGTATTCGACCCTCGCGGGACAGCTTCCATTGGAAGAGGTCCAGAAACACGAACAAATTGCTTAGTCAGTAGAGCGAATTATTGTCCTCAGTACGTGGCCGTCCCCTCGGCAGTGAGAACAAGCGTGTATTGCACGTCATCATCACCAAATGAAAAAAGAGTGTATTTATTTTTAAGTGTTGCGTTCACCGGTGTTCTGGGCAGATAGGATAGATGACTGCGCATTTGGGTTTCTAGCCTAAATAATTGATGCGTCAATATAGAGGTATTAGTGGACATTTCGTTGGGGAGGTCAGGAAAGGATGCCGTGCAATACAGGCAACAGTTTGGACGCATGCACGCCGTTGAGCACGTGACTATGCCATGTTTGGCAATGCCTCTAACCATTGATGTGTCCTATCTCGTGGTCCACATCCACGGAGATGGCAATGACTAGCACAGCTGAGTTTAATAGTAATGGCTTTCGATGTTTGCTGCTCATTTACACTCTTCGCCTGGTTGTGCAAATATGGCTGTTTCAAAAAGTCGATTGCCTTGTATACGGAGCATGTGACCAAGCCAGCACAACCTATTGCGTGTGGTCAGTGTATGCGNTCTGTGTATGCCTTTATATATATATATATATATAGCATTGATTTCTTTCGAAAAAACATTCGAAGTACCTCAGTATTATTACTCCGGTGACCCACCAGGCGCGGACAGTGCTCTGATAGTCAAACACGGAAAGTCTTTCGACGCCCTCGGCGCGCAGCGACTAGGTTTCTGATCAATATGATAACATGGGCCGCATCGCTACATTTTAGACTTGACCATTGACGTGTAAACTGATATCATGCCTGCGTCGCGGCTCACGAAAGTCGCTCTAGCCTTCCTGATCCGGATGGAAATACCGTCTTTGTATAGACCGTCAGGACTGGCACAGCTACCAAGGTAGGTCGCCTGGTCTACAACCTCAACAGGCCAATTCTCTGACTTGAGGTTGGGGTTCAAGTCCGTCCAGTCTCGCTGAAGCACTCCGCACATTGCAGTTGTAAAGCGCGTGTCAAACCGTGGAGCAGAACTATTTAGATTATTTATTATTTTTTGGATCAGGACAGCGTCAGATCCAAGAAGAGCTATGTCGTCTGCGTACTCGATATTTGTGAGCGAATGCCCCGAGAGCGCTCTGACGCCACAGGTATTAGAGGCTGATAGTGAGTCTCATTATCGAATCAATGACGAAGTTGAGGACGAATCGTGAAAGAGGGCAGCCCTGCATGACACAACTTTATGTGGTGAATTCAGACGAGAGCTTACCGTAAACTTTCACACGTCCGCGGAGGTTAGTGTACAGCTCCTTAAGGAGAGTCAATAATTTATGGGGGACACCATTGCTCCACTGCCATAGTGCCTGACGCTCCACAAAGTCAAAGGAAAGGAGGACAATAAGAGTTCGTTGCTGGAAGCAGTGGAAGTATAGTCGATGTTGTCTCTTGCGGATTGTTTTTCACGTATGTGTCTTCCTGTATTCACACAGTCTTCGAAGGTTAAGACTAGAGATCGCCTTTGGTGTCACAGCTATCATTCATGTACCAAGGTGGTTTTCACACAGCATCCGCGTACCCTTTTTGAAGACGAGGATGACTGTCGATGTTCCTCTTCATGCAGTAGCTTTCTGTTCCCTCAATATTGCACCAATAAGTTCTATCAGCTGGGTGAGACGGCTTGGCGGTTAGGGCGCGAATTTACTGACCGGAAGGTCCGTGGTTCGAACCCGATTTCTCTGTGTATGCCTTTATATATATATATATATATAGCATTGATTTCTTTCGAAAAAACATTCGAAGTACCTCAGTATTATTACTCCGGTGACCCACCAGGCGCGGACAGTGCTCTGATAGTCAAACACGGAAAGTCTTTCGACGCCCTCGGCGCGCAGCGACTAGGTTTCTGATCAATATGATAACATGGGCCGCATCGCTACATTTTAGACTTGACCATTGACGTGTAAACTGATATCATGCCTGCGTCGCGGCTCACGAAAGTCGCTCTAGCCTTCCTGATCCGGATGGAAATACCGTCTTTGTATAGACCGTCAGGACTGGCACAGCTACCAAGGTAGGTCGCCTGGTCTACAACCTCAACAGGCCGATTCTCTGACGTGAGGTTGGGGTTCAAGTCCGTCCAGTCTCGCTGAAGCACTCCGCACATTGCAGTTGTAAAGCGCGTGTCAAACCGTGGAGCAGAACTATTTAGATTATTTATTATTTTTTGGATCAGGACAGCGTCAGATCCAAGAAGAGCTATGTCGTCTGCGTACTCGATATTTGTGAGCGAATGCCCCGAGAGCGCTCTGACGCCACAGGTATTAGAGGCTGATAGTGAGTCTCATTATCGAATCAATGACGAAGTTGAGGACGAATCGTGAAAGACGGGAGCCCTGCATGACACAACTTTATGTGGTGAATTCAGACGAGAGCTTACCGTAAACTTTCACACGTCCGCGGAGGTTAGTGTACAGCTCCTTAAGGAGAGTCAATAATTTATGGGGGACACCATTGCTCCACTGCCATAGTGCCTGACGCTCCACAAAGTCAAAGGAAAGGAGGACAATAAGAGTTCGTTGCTGGAAGCAGTGGAAGTATAGTCGATGTTGTCTCTTGCGGATTGTTTTTCACGTATGTGTCTTCCTGTATTCACACAGTCTTCGAAGGTTAAGACTAGAGATCGCCTTTGGTGTCACAGCTATCATTCATGTACCAAGGTGGTTTTCACACAGCATCCGCGTACCCTTTTTGAAGACGAGGATGACTGTCGATGTTCCTCTTCATGCAGTAGCTTTCTGTTCCCTCACTATTGCACCAATAAGTTCTATCAGCTGGGTGAGATGGCTCAGCGGTTAGGGCGCGAATTTACTGATCAGAAGGTCCGTGGTTCGAACCCGATTTCCGCCTCTCAACTTCACCTGTTCAGGTTTGGGCAACCTGGCAGTATCCCAGCCGTCGTGCTTCCTTTGGGTGGCATGGAAGCTAGGCAGTGAAAGGGTGTTTTACAGCTGACCGAATACATACTGGCGCTTAACTTTCATCCTTGACCGATTTAGTCTCACCGCAAGGTTTCGATCCATCAATCAGTTCCAGTTACATCTTGATCCATATTTGTCTTCCGTCGAACTCGTACAGAGTCTAGCCACACACCGTCGGAGCGGATCTTTCGCCTGACTGTTTTGAGGTTTTCTCATGTGACAAACATTTGTCTATTTAGGTATGCATCACTGGGGCTGACAGTTAGCTCAGCTATGAGTTTACTTTTCAATCATGAGACCTTCAGGTCATCGCCATTCAGTGACATTTCGCACCCGAAAAACGCGTTCATCACCACGTCTAAGAAAGTTCATTGAGTATTTCCCCTTAGTTCAATAACTTTTCGCCCATCCTGACGCTGTGCTTCTTATGCTTAAGGGCTTATAATACAAAGTTCCTTTTGGGATGTGGGATTTTCCTTGCCCACTAATTCTTCATTTTTTGTCGCTTCCTGTTTGTTATTGTAACAACTTATCGACGTGGTTTCCTTATCTTTCAGCTGGAGCGTGAAGTCGAGGCACAGTTGATAAGTTTCCGACAGTTGTTTGACACGTCACCGATCCACGTGGATGGACATCAACATGTACAAGTTCTGCCAGGTCTGTGTGCCGTCGCAGTGTATATCAGCAGTGATAATTGCGTCAGTATTGCTTATTTGCATCAGATCGCCCAGTGGATAAAGCGCGAACGTACTAACTTAATAATAACGTCCATGGATCGAACCCAACCTCTGCATTTCGACTGCTCCTATCTAGGCTTGGGCATCTGGGCAGTATATCTGACCTCCCCCCATTGGGCACTGACAGGGTGCTACAATAACCATCTTAGCATCGTCGTTCAGCTGTAGCACCCTTTCGGTGCCTAACTGCCATGCTTCCCCGAAGGAAGCACCAGGGCTGGGATACTGTCAGGTTGCCCAAGTCTAGACAGAGGAAGTCGAGAGGCAGAGGTCGGATTCGAACCACGGACCTTTCGGTCAGTAAATTCGCGCTGTAACCACTTGGGCCATCTAGCCCCTCCACTTTAAAATGAATTGGTAACGTTCATGATGTTTGGCTATCCTTATTCTTGTTTGAACCGCCATGTGTCGGAGATAAATTCTATGCATTCGGCCTAGTTGGACTCCTATCATAGGAGTCTGATGCCTACGACATTCTGAGATATTTGATAAGTAGGCACGGTTAAGCCAGTTTCGAGCATCATTTCCGTGACAGTTTAGTGGTGCGTTCGTCAGTTCACCTTTTCATGAAGCTACAGCTACTCTGTGTTGTTCCATTTCCACTGGTTGGAATTTCAAACTGTCCAACCCGGCTTCGAATGCCCGTCAGTAGTGAGGAGACTTTGAATTTGCAATAAAATCAGGCGACAGTCAGTCAGCAGGCGAGACCTATTGTACAACAGTTTCACCGCTGTTGTGAAATGCGTATCGCACGAGTCTATGGTGTTGGACGCTGTCTGCGAACTTGTGTTTGGCATTTGAAACTTGAACTATTCCACCACTATTGGCTGACCATCATTGTGGTGCTACTGTCCTGCTGTCACACAATTCACGCATGCTATCACATCCGGTCCCCTGTCAGTAAGTCTGTCCATCAACAGTTTGACGGACGTTTTAAACAGGTCTGTCTCTATCGAAACTGGTTGCTTATTTTTGCTTGCTTGTTTGGTGGGTCACACTGGTGCACCGTGCAAAGCGTTAATTTTGGCATACTACTGTGCACGATTGAAGTAACATCGTGCCACTCGCTGTTCCCCCGGTGAAGTTAGTGTGTTCGTCAGTTTGTTATCGTCCCTGAATTTTTGTGTGCACTCGTACGTACAAGGTTTTAGCCGAATTCACGCAGCTTTGTTTATTGCATTTCCCCCCTCTGTTACTCGTATCGCACGTTCCTTTGTACCTGAATGTGATGTGATGTTCACTAACAGTTCAACTCCGCTCATCGTTGGGATTTCAGCTCACCTAGGGCCTACAATCATTACTGTCAAAAATGATCTCTCTCGCACAACCTGTGTTATGGTTTCTTTTGTATGTCGTCTTTTGCGACTTTTTTTGGTTTCTCGTACCACGGGGAGTTCATCTCAGTGTCGTGTAAACCCGTTCTCAATATGACTCGAGCAACCGTAATTCTGTCGTGAACCGCGTGTCCTCATAGGGGTTGTACGGTGAAGCTATGTTTAAGTCTTCGTTAGGGGGGGGGTGAATTCATTTAATCTGTTCTTTTTCAGTCGTGCCGGAAGGTGTTCTCTTCCGAGGTAGCGGTTTCAGTGGAACTACGGTCGAATTTCTCAGTCGGGAGGCATCCTTTAGTAAGAAGCTTCTTGGACGGATGGATTAGTCTAAATAAAACAGTATTCAGCATGTGTTTTGAACGCAAGGATAAGATTTATGTCTGGTGTTTGTACGAGGGAGCCATGTAACAAGAAATACAAAGAAAACGTTGGTCGGCCTGCCCCTCTGCAAGCTTATCTACCATGTGGACAGCTCTAGGTCATCTTGTTATACGAATGTCTTCGGGACAAACATCTTTCGGTCACATTTTTGAGCTTGGATTTGAATATCTGGTCTACTTTTAGTCAGTCACGACTCGCAGTCTTAATATGAACTCATGCGATGATGTTTCTTCCATCAAGCCTAATCAAAGGAAGCCTCTGTCCACTTTTCTTGTCAGAACTATCATTTGTCCTGTGCACCCTCCGCTTACTGTTCTGCTCTTTCTAATGTTATTTACAGGTGTGCTTGTGAGACTTTTTCTCACCTGGCGATGAATTTCTGGGCTACGGTTCGTTCACAGCGATCCTTCTAAAATTCAAATCCTCCCCTTGAGGTTCGTCTTCCCCGATCGGTGGTATGGTGCTTGGAAAAGCCGTCACCCCGGGAAAGATGGCATACAGAACGGCTTCGTTGATTGCTAACGGGTGTTCGCCTTTTTTGGAAAGAGAAGGTTCTGATTGCCCTGTCTAACCTTCGTTGTCTATGGAGTGCTGGTTGAGTAACTAACCGTTAGCAAAGCAAGCCTGATCGGCTTGCTAAATGGCTTCAGCTTTTAGGTCAAGAATAAGCTAACCATCCCACAGTTTTCACTGCGCTGTGTCGGTTTAATCTAGTTTTGCTTGCTTTCTGCGTGACAGACTCCCGGCTAACTGCCATCAGAAAGCGTATCTTGAGTAATAAGCAAAAGGTATTTCATACTGGAGAAGTGGGGACAATCGTTGTTCGTAAAACTGTTTTTATTGTGTCGTGAGAGGTCTCCTAGATTCTTACAACGAATCCCCCCGCGGGGTTCCCTCATGTTATGCGTTGCACGCCACCCCCTTTTGCAGGCTTATTCCCCCGGGGTCCAGCATTCGCGTCTAACGCCCTGCGTTTTCACACTCCATTTTCTGATTGTGTACATTGCTGGTGCCGACTCTCTCTGTTTCTGCCCTCCGTTTTCCAGCTCTCGTTCCTATCTTGTGTCGTTTGCTTCCACGTCACGGAGTCCAATGGATTCGCATACCGGAGGAGCTCGAGGATAATTTTATCCATGCACCTAGTGACTTGAGTGAAGGTGGGTTTATCGCTAGTTTTTGTGACCGACTGTGCCACAGTAGGGCGAATAGGGTCGTGAAATAGAAATCTCCGAAGGGTTTAGGCCCCCGAAGGTTTGAGGATCTAGTATTCTCTTCGCACAATTCTAGACGTCTTTCAAACCTACTGAGCATGAAAGGTTGGGTTTAAACCATATTAGCATCATCTGGCTGGACTGACTTGATAGCTATTAACTGATCGCGTCTTTGCTTCCATTGCTTGGCTATGCCTTTCTCGCTGTTCCAGTATTCGGTAACCAGAACTGTAGCTACTGGAATAAACGTACTTTTGGTGAACTGACTGAACTTAATTGGGGTTATCCTCCGAGGTGAATGACTTCCAAACTAAAACAACTTCAGTAGAGCCTTGACGGTTTTGGTTTTTGAAGAGGTCATCTCTAGCCAGTGTCGCTAACCTCATGCGTAAAGTTAATCCCCAACAAGGACACCCATGTTGCGCTTGTTAGACGATATCCCGCACCGGAACCGCTTTACTGCTGGCAGTTGGGCACTGCTACAACACACAGCGACGGGCTTGCCGGTTCACCATCGAAGCGAGCTCTGATTGGCCGGAAGTGGCCCCAACAACCAATCATGATCCAGTATCCGCCAAACACCGGTTGCCAGCGCCGCATCTAGAAGGCATACGAATGGAGAAATGATTCTTGACTAGAATCGCCTTAGATCCTCGGAGTTTTGAACTAGTTCTTAAAGTTCAAACTATATTAGTTTCTTGATCCTTAGCTGCTGGGGATCTCAGTGAACAGTTTTTGGTCTAGACGCGCTTACAATATCTTAAATCCTCCACAACGTCGAACTGCACGTTTTCGAACATTGTGCCACCTCGGCCTTTGCGTTGCGGTATCATTCGCATCACATCACCTGCAGAATACAATGGAGTAGATGTGCGAATATAGTCTTCCCTCTCAGGTATCACTGACTTATAACCATGTCGGTTTGCTTGAATACAGCGTTTTGTATGTGTGATATAACCCTGTAGGGTCTGTCATGCTGCACAAGCGTGTTGAGAAGTACGATTCTGCCGGTGGAATGCGCCACAATTTTGAAACCAAGGAACGGCAAGAGTATGGATCTCATATGCGCATGCCGTTGTTCTAACAGTTGACGGAGTTGGAAGAAGTCTTCTCCACAACCCCTTCTAGACCGGAATCCCTCCTCGGGTCGCGTTCCTATATGGTTACGTCAAGCGACGTCCTGTCCTTGAAACTTTGCCGTTACAAACGATTCGAAATCAATATCTAAATATGACCCGATTCATCCGACTGGTTTTGTTGTCCACAACAAAGTAAGCTGTTACTCTCCCTCAAATTGTGGGCTCTCTTTTCATACATGCCTGTTGTCTGTGCAAAATGGAGTTCCAAGATCGAAGCGCACTTGTCGGACAGCAAACCCCTTTCGACGTTTACTCGCTACCTATCGTGAACCCCTGGGCCGCGTGAACCACGGGCCACTACTGATTGTCCTGATAGTGATGAAGGAAGGAGTCTTGCTCGACTATGTACTTATTCATGCTCTGCGTACTGCCCCGGTCGTCTGTGAAAGCCTTGTAAAAAGTGAATTAGCGTTTGAGCATGTTTACCTACATCTTGGCGGATTCTCACCCCGATACTTTTGAAAATGCTACACCAGGGTACAACTGGCTACCGGAGATTTGATCACATTTCTTCGTGCTGTTGAGGCCTGTTTGGCTAGTCATCTTAGGAGAGAATCGACACTCACGGGAACGTCTATTGCTGATTACCATCTGTTTATATGCAACACTAGCTCCTGAAGAACTAAAACTTCCTGGTCACATTTTCTTTTACATTTGAGGCAGCCTTAAACGGAGGACGATCAAATCATTGTCAGCTATCATTCCTTCTGGACCAGTCATGTGGGATGTGGTCGTGCGCTGGAACGGGCTTGCGGCTCAGCACCACTAGCTTCACTGGGACGGCGGATATAGGAAAGAACCTATAGCGCGTATTCAAACTGAATATCAAGCGTCAAGTGGTTGAGAGGCCTAGGTTTAAGAAGGTTTGAGA